ACTAAAAAGTGGTCACAGTATAATTAGGGTAAAGCACATTTTATGTTATAAATGTGACGTAGAGGATTACAGTTAAGAAACTAGAGGTAGTATACATAAGGTATTTTTACTGCAGGGAGGGGGTGAAGAGGAAAGAGGGAGAAGAATTACAGTTCAAAGCTACATTACTTATCTACTTTAGGGAAGTAGTCACACACATGCTTTTCAGTGCTCCACTGTTGGTATTTTTAGGTAATGTGGAGAATACATTTTTGTGCAATTATTTACTGTAAAATCACTTCAAAACTGGGGTTTTAATTGAGCATGAGGACTGAGGAGGATCACCTAGTTCCAACTCCCCTACCATGGGGAGTTTATGATAAAGGAAAATTGGGGTTAGAAAACTAGAATTGGGATGGGATTTTTCATGATCACACTGGAAAAATACATCTTGAATATTAAGGAGAAGCTTATCTGTAAGAATTCTTGATATATTGGCAATAAGGTTTGTAAACTTCAGTTCTCCTGCATAATAAGTTTCCCTTCTGTCTTGCTTTTTTTTTTTTTTTTTTTTCTTTTTTTCAGTGCACTTCATATGTTTCTTACACAGTGCCTTGTTAGGCTGAAGTGTTGCAAGACCATGCTGCAGGGTGTCCTACCTTGTGTGGACAGCATAGTGGTCTTCCTGTGCTGACAGGGCTGTGCTTCGATACACACACTGCCCAGGGAAGTGGTGGAGTCACCATCTCTGGAGATATTCAAGAAATGTGTAGACGTGGCACTGAGGGACAGGGCATGGTGATGATGGGCTGACAGTTGGACTAGATGGTCTTAATGGTCTTTTCTAATCTCAGGAATTCTAGGTGTTGGCATCTGCCTAGAGAAATGCAGGCAGGAAGGGAATCTGCAGAATGCTGGAATACCCATGGAACTGAAAGGATGTGACTGAGCTAGGTGTCAGGAACATGTAGCTGCCATGTATCCTCCTGCTAGGTCCTGGCCAAGGGCTCTGAAGGCTTACAGTTGCCATACTTGTATGATCCATGTGTATTAGCTCAGGCTCTCTGGGAAAATTCTGCTGTTATTTCAAAGTTGTACAGTTTCTGCCAGGCCTCGCCAACTTTGCATGTAGCATTGTTTGGCTGCAGGCATTCAGTGCTGGCGACTGCCAGAAAATGCCTCCTCGGCTCCTGCAGCTGGGGTTGTCTGTATGTAACTTCATATGGAAATGGTGCAGGTAGGAGCCAGGAGGTGAGGCATGCTCAGCACTTCTGTAATTCTTGCTGAGTGAAGCTGTGCTGCTATTAAGCACTCCGAATTGCTCAGACTCTTTTAAGTATATTGGCATAAATTTTCCCATGATACCACAAGTGTTTTGTTGAGAAACTGAGAAGGTAAGAACCGGAGTAATGTGCTTTTTCCCTTCAGCCACGGCTGCATCATTAAGATTTTAAACTAAGCAAAGAGAAGGTGTTCCTAGTCACCGAAATGCTAACACACAGAAAAAAGGGAATGTACAGCTCACATTTAGAAAACAAATATGGACTTCCCTTAAGAGGGGAAGAAATCCGCCTTGATGGAAAATATTATTATATCAAATATTTGTAGAATGCCCTATGAAAAAAACGTGGCAGACTCTAGCTTGGGTTATCCACAGGAGCATGCACAGGGAAAGGCTTTGTTTGGCAGCTCAGACTGATGCTATGTTTGCTGCTCTTGATGCTAATAATTAGCAGTGGTGCCCGGTGTCTGTAAGTTTTTTCTGACCTAGGCCTCCAGTGACTTGTTAGTGAGAGCAGTAAGCTGCTTCACTTGTTTGTGCTCACACAGAAAAATTGCATCTGTGCCAGTTTAAAGTTTTGAAAAGGAAACGGCTCGTGTTGGAACTTCTGTGTCTCAGTGAGTAACTTCTGATTGAGGATTTCAACCATTAATCATGATTAAGTAATTTGATAAGCTATTAAGTGCATAAAACAACCAGAAATGCAGATTCTTTACATTTTTTCTTGTGGCTGATGTGGCTTGAGGCAGGAAAGAGGAGCAGGAAAAATCTTCAAAATTACAACTTTTGTCATTATTTCATTCATCCCTGCCTCCATATCATAGAATCATAGAATCATACAACGGCTTGGGTTGGAAAGGACCTCAAGGATCATCAAGCTCCAACTCCTCTGCTGCAGGCAGGGCTGCCAACCTCCACATATAATACTAGACCAGGCTGCCCAGGGCCCCATCCAATCTGGTCTTGATAATCCAATCTGGCACCCCTGGGATGGGGCATCCACAACCTCTCTGGGCAGCGTGTTCCAGCGTCTCACCACTCTCTCTGTAAAGAACTTCCCCCCGACATCCAATCTAAATCTTCCCTCCCTCCCTCAACTTAAAACCATTTCCCTTTGTCCTTTCTGCCCTTTCAAAGAGTTGACTTCCCTCCTGTTTGTAGGCTCCCTTTAGGTACTGAAAGGCTGCAATGAGGTC